GGTGTTCTCGTACCACGCAATCTTGTCGTCAAGCTCCGACGCCGAGACCAGGTCCAGATCCCCGTCTCCATCCATGTCAGCCGCAGTCACAGACCGCACACCATTCGCTGCGGTACTCACCACTTGCTGCGGCCCAAAGATTCCGGCTCCGTCGATGTTCTCGTACCAGGCAATCTTGTCTTGACCGAACAACGGCGAGACCAGGTCCGGATCGCCATCTCCGTCAATGTCAGCCGCGATCACTGAATACGCATCGTTTGTCAAGGCGCTCAACACCTGTGGCGGCCCGAAGCTCCCGGCTCGGTCGGTGTTTTCGTACCACGCAATGGTGTCGTCCAAATACGATGCCGACGCCAGGTCGATATCGCCATCACCATCAAAGTCAGCTGCAACGACAGACTGCACAGTGCCTGCTGCAGTGGTCACCACTTGCTGCTGGCCAAAGGTGGCGTTGCCGTACAGGTTCTCATACCATGCAACCTTGTTGTCGTTGTACGACGCGGACACCAGGTCCAGATCGCCATCTCCATCAATGTCAGTCGCAATGAGAGCCCGCGCACCGTCGACTGCCGTGCTCACTACTTGCGGCAGCGCAAAGGTTCCGTTTGCGTCGGTGTTCTCGTGCCACGCGATCCAGTTGCCACCCGCCGATGCCAGGTCGATATCGCCATCACCATCCATATCAGCTGCAATAACAGCCTGCGTATTGCTGACTGGTGTACTCACTACTTGCGCCACCACGTCGACCTCTGCCCAGCACTGCGGAATGTCCGGCACTGCCGCCACCTGGACCGCCACAACGAGCGCCAAAAGACTCGTCAACGCCACCGCCATAGGCCGCCACGAACCACCGACGGGCAAGGACGAGCCATCATGCCAGAGCCAACCGACGTGCGCCACCTTTGCCCTGCTGCGATTCCAACTATGCCGAGCACCACACATGCGTGTGCGCTTTGCGTCGAATGCTACGTCGGCAGAAGTGGTGTGTGTGTGTGTGTGTGTGGTCCAGGTGCGGGGGTTCGACCGGTCTTGGGCAGGGCCAACCCACGCATGTGCGCTGATTGGCGAGTGGGGAGACCTCGCTTCCGGGTATCGATTATGTCTTATGCCGATGATTGTTACCGGGTCGAACTGGCCGGGTCGAACTGGCGCGCGAGCAGACAGTCTTGTTCTGTTGGGCCACCCGCCCGCTCAACGACTACCAGAGGCGGCCAGAGGTGCTTGCCGAATCGTCGCCGCATCGGCTTATTCGCGAGATCCGGATCATTGTCTCGGGCGTGTTGCCGCCGGCACCCGCAGTTTCCCTACACGCTCGGCTATGCTGCGGCGCATCACAAAGCCTCCACGCTGCTGGGCGTGTTTTACTGCGGCATGGCGTCGCCCGCGGACGATGTCCCGGCGGCGGTGTGGGCGCTGCGGCACACCACGAGGAGAGCTTTGAGCCGTAGGACTAGCGGCGTGCTTGGAAGATAGCGATGGCCTTGTCGACGTGCTGGAGGATGTTGGCGCGGTCGGCCTGGAGGGCGGCGATGTTGCCCGTGGCGATGGTGACGTGATCCCTGACGTCGGCGAGCTCGACCTCGGCGGCGGCGAGCTTGGCCTTGGTGTCGGCGAAGTCGGTCCTGGTGTCGGCGAGCTCGGCCTTGGTGTCGGCGAGCTCGGCCTTGGTGTCGGCAAGCTCGGCCTCGAGTTTGTCCACGCGAGTGGTTCCAGCAGAGGCGCCTGCACCGCCGCCAATGTCGCCACCAGCAGCGATGGTCTCACGGACGTAGCAGGCTACTGGCTCGGGAGCAGCCCCGGTGACGATGAGGTTGTAGACTTCCTTTGTAGCCAGATTATTGGCGCTGTCGGACTTGTTGAGCACAGCCGAGGCAATTGACATGGCCGTCTCGCCGTTGGTCCCGAGAGCCCACACATCGGCACCTGCGGCGAGCAGTGCCATGGTTGCGAGGATGTTGGAGGGCGAGACGGCGACGTGGAGCGGGCGCAGTCCAAGGGACGGTTCGACGGCGTCGATGTCGGCGCCGGAGTTGATGAGGAAGGCGAAGACAGGGATGGAGAACGGGATTGTGTCTGCGGCATGAAGGACGATGAAGAGGGCGAGGGTGGCCTTATTGATGCCATTGGCAAGCTCGGTGGCGCCGTCGCCATGCTCGCGGATCCAGGCGACCATCGCAGATGAGAACACTGCAGATCGCTCCGCGGGAGCAGCTACGTACACATGCGTGTTGTCCGGCTGCAGCGTGAAGGGATCGAGACCAACTCCGCTCAGCTCGGTCATCCGCATAGCCGTCAGCTGGTTCGCGGCGATAATGGTGTCGAGCACAGTGGCGCCGTTTCCGTCGACGGCAGACTGGTCGAGGACGATGTCGAGGGCGGCGACTGCCTCGAGGAGAGCCTTGAGGGCACCGTGCTCCGTGTTGGCAGCCGCGACATGAATGACGGGCGTATTGAACGTGGGTTCAACAGCGTTGACGTCTGCACCAGCGGTGATGAGCTCGGAGACGATGTCGGCTGAGATCGGGACGGTCGGTGAGGCGCGGAGGACGACAAAGAGGGCGAGGGTGGCCTTGTTGATGCCGTTGGCGAGCTCGGTGGCGCCGTCGCCATGCTCGCGGATCCAGGCGACCATCGCAGATGAGAACGCTGCAGATCGCTCCGCGGGAGCAGCTACGTACACGTGCGTGTTGTCATCATCGAGATCGTAGAGGTCTGCGCCGTTGGCAAGCAGCGTGTTGAGCGCGTCCACGGAGAGAGCATTACAGCGGGCCATGAGATGCACCGGATGGGGCACATGGGCTTGAGCAAAGCCGAGCAGAGCACGGGCGTGCTGCGATGCAGGGAAGTCTGGTTGGGCGATGGTAGTGCGCGCGCGACGCAAGTCGAGGGTAACCTTGGAGCAGTTGCGCAAGCCGAGGGATGTGAGGTTGGGGCAGCCACCGGCGAGGGCGACCACTGCCGCATCGTGATGTTGGAGCAGTGTCAAGTAGAGGGTTGGGAGGTGGCAGCCACGCGAGGGCGACACTGCCGCATCCGCATCGG